GTGTGTGTGTGTGTGTGTGTGTGTGTGTGTGTGTGTGTGTGTGTGTGTGTGCGCGTGTGTGTGCGCGCGCGTGTGTGGACATGTGTGAGTGTGTTAATGTGTGTATGTGTGTGCGCGCGTGTGTGTATACGCGCGCGTCTTATTTCTTGTGTTTCTTTCTGAATTATATTTTTCGAAAAAATGAAGATGAAAGGTCCAAAAATAAAGGAAACGAAGCGAAGCAAGCAACGGAAAAATAGAGATGTGATGAGATCTTTTCTATTCTGTGGAAAGTTATATTCTGTTGTGGCAGATGAGTAATTCAATATTCGTGTTTTCTTTCATAATGTGTTGTCAGTTCAGTGCAAGCAGCGGTAAAGCCAGATGAGTGCTGTGAATTTCCATTAGCTGGATTATTTCATTTTCTTCTACTCGGCGTGAATTATAATTAGCCTTTTTCAATACGTAAAAAGAGCACGACCACCATATAATTTAGCTTCATAGCATGCTAATTGAAAAATAACGCAAATAACCATTACTATCATTCACGTAGTTTGAAATGCCAGAAAGCAGAAAATTGAAATGTTCATAGTTGTTTGATAGAAATTGCATCAATAATCCTGATAAGGAGTTTTTATAAACATAATTCTTGAACCAGCAGTTAGAAAATTGCCAACCTTGTGGTCTACTCACAGATTTAGCAGGTTAATGAAAGCAACCAGACAATGATGCAGACTTTACTAAAGTATTGAACCAAATATCTTTTCCCACGTTCTTTCATTCGGCAAAAGGACGATGAATTTACTTGAAAGGAGAAGCAACCTTCAATTTTCTACCTCCATCTTACGCCATGGATCATTTACCATCAGTTCTGGCGTCATCTCCGGAATCATACTCGTCATTTTGATGACATCATCATTAAGTCATGCACAAAGTACTCGTACGTTCCCACCACTGTTCAATGCAGCCCGTGAGCGACCTGTGTCCACCAACCCTTCAGCCAGCACGTGCGGCATGACCACTCGTAGTGCCTACTGCCTCAGCTCCACCAATGTGGACAGTATCAACCGCTGCCGACAGGGATACTGTGTACAGACATGTCCGGGAAGAACGCAAACTCCCGACGCCTATTTTTTGCTCACTGGTGAGGGTTTGGTTGTTGTTGTTGTTGTTGTTGCTGTTGTGTGTGTGTGTGTGTGTGTGTGTGTGTGTAT